TATTCATAGGTTGAAGAATAAACACAGGGCCTCCAGGCCTCTCCAGTCTGTTTTGCAACAGTCTTGTACTAATGCATGGGAATATTTTGAAAGAACTACTTAAATCCTTAAACCCTTGTATCAGTTTGGTCCTTTACCATACTCAGGTTTGGAACTTCTGAATTTTAGAGGAATGTAAACAAGATTTGATCTTTCTTGGTAAGTTAGTAGGCATTTAAGGTAATTTCCTCTTCATCAGCTGTTTAAACCTGGACACACTAAATGTGGGAGAGGGAGAACACTATGAATACATTAATCTCTAGAGCCCCTGTCTTCTCTAACGTTAAATATAGAGTGGCCAATAGTTTGATGTCTTGATTTCTCAAACAATCTGTTATAAGTTCCAACTGGTAAACTGCTTTGAGTCTTAAATGGGTGCTGTTACCTGCAGGAGGTGGTCCCATGGCAGCAGGCTCTGCAGACACCAGCAGTTTCTAGTCTTCCATGTTGCCACCAGATGAAGGTCTTGGAGCTACAGCCAATTCACATTATTTTCAGTAAGAGGAACACTTACTAATGAGCTTCTGTTATAAGCTAGGTAAGAGTGGAACTTCTGAAACTATTTAAATGTGCTATCAAATTCTTCTTTGACAGATCAAAAGATTTCAGGACCTCTAACTTTTATTCTAAGGAACCCAGGAGCCATAGGCCTGGTCTATTCTAGGAAACTAGTTCAGTATAATTACATTGCTCAGGGGTGTTTAAAAATCCACACCCCTGAATGATGCATTTAAATCAACCAAACCCCTGGTGTAGATAGTGCTAGGTCTGTCAAACTTGCTACCGCCTCTCAGGGAGGTAGGTCACCTACACTGGTGGGAGAAGCTCTTCTGTCGATGTAGGTAGTATCTTTACTGAAGCTCTGCAGTGGTGCCACTGCATTGTTTGTTTTTTTTCTTTTTCTTTTTCTTTTTCGTTCAGTGTAGACAAGCCCATAGTAATGAAGCTTTATGTTGGTAGAGGCTGTCCTCCTTTCCATTGAAGGGCTGGAGATATATTAAATGAAAAACTTATCTATTGAAAATAGATGTCAACTAAAACTGTTTTCTGGGAGACTTTTAGCTATGCTAGTTAAGCTCCCTCCTTTTAAGCTGTTCATTACACTGTCCACTCTCAAGGAAGTTGCACACAGAGAAGCAATGTTTCCAAAAGGGGCAGCAGCATCATTCCATCAAAAATACCTAATCCAAGCACCTTTTCAGTTACTCCAACTAGGAATATTTTCACACCCCCACCCCCCCCCCTTCAGATTTCCTCAATTTTTTTTATGCCAACTTGTAACCTCTCCAGGAGCCTTAAAGGCTCCTGGTATCCGTTTAGTTTGGACTCCTCAATTTTGTATAAATCTGAATGCTAATTTTGCTTTTTATAAACAATTTTATGCAACTGGCCAAATTGGACCCTGTTATTTACACTTTAATTGCAAAACACATGCCTTTGTACAACAGTTCAGCCCCAAATCTCTTCTAGTGTGTGTGTGTGGTTTTTTTTTTTTTTTTTTTTTTTTTTTAAACCTACATACAATTTTAGACTTTGATAACTTTTTGTAAATTAGTCACAGGAACAAAATTTTAGGTGACCTTGTTCTCCTAAATAGCATAATTGCTAGCAAAGCAATTTTTCATCTTCTGCCTCCCCCCAGGAAGTGTGTTTGAGTCTCAACTATTTATTGATACAGCAATTTATAGTGTGCTAGGAGCTTCGTGGAACAAAACAGTACCTGCTCAGAAGATCTCAACCTAATTTGTACACAAATAACTTGTTTCTTTTTGTTTTTTGTTTTAAAGTACCTCAGTACAAAAATCTTGTTTGACACCAGCGATCTTAAAATTAATCTGTGAAATTTAAACGCTTGGAAATGGCAAGCAAATTCAAATATCTGGAGGCAGTTCTTACCAGAATGCAAACTGTGGGTTCATAGACTTGTTGGTTCTTTGTTGAACTAATTAGATTAAATCAGAGGCTTTCCCAAGATAATCACTTTGGGAGTCTTTTCCCATAATAAAGCTGGGCTGCTGATAATGTGCAGTTAAAGGTCAAATTCTTTGCAAAGAAGAGCATCAGCTAAGGCTTGCAACCTGTAAGTAACTTTGAACTATTTTAATAGTTCATAATCTAACCCAGTTGCAAAGGATATCTAACTGGTGAAACTTTGACATTTGAAGGTCCATGAAGTGTTTGAGTAAACTGACCACCATGTGAGTGAGATCTGACCTTCTCTCTCTCTGTGTGTGTGTGTGTGTGTGTGTGTGTGTGTGTGTACTTTACTTTCAATATTGCTCTTACTTAAAGATTTGTTAAATACATATGAAAAAACATCTGCCTGCGTTCTAATTGTACACTGCAAATACCTTTAAATATGGTGATTTCAAGGATGAGGAATTACTTGGCAAGATACTATTTTAGCTAAAATTCCAATGGTATGTTATGAGGTTTGTCTCCAGTGTTTTATTTGTTGTTGCTGTGGTATATTGGCTTACTTGCATCCTGTCTTGCAAATATATGCTTATCCCCCATCTGCCTACTGTGGGGTTCTTGAACGGTCATCAAAAGCTTTTAACACTGGCCACTGTCTAACCTGTTACTGGACTAGATGGACCTCAGTTCTGATCCTGTAGGGCAATTCCTTTAATCCTATTTTATGGAAGTAACACTTTGACTGTCCATGCCTGACCTCTCATTGGGTGTCCAAAGTATGAGCCTTAATTGGGTAGCTTCTTCCTTTCATTAGAAAATACCAGTTAAAGCTTTGCTTACACATACTTGGATGAAAAATATAGAATCCATCATGAAGGAAGGGGGGAGGCTTTACTTGTATTGAATTATGTTAACGGGTCTAGCTGACTGAGAAGCTACAGTTCTGTCTCAAGCACATGAATTTGAATGCAGCTTGTTCTGTAGTGACTGTCAGTATCTTGATGGTGATTTGGCCTTGTGGTTAAGTTTGCCTTATTGAGATGCTTATAGTAATAAAGCCTCCAGCTTTGGCCCTCAGAGGCTAAATTACTAAGCATAGAGACTGAACTACTAGCTGACGGGTACTGATAGTCCCTCTAGGTCATTGCTGACAGCCATGTAGGGAACTTCATACTTCTAGTACCCTGCTGTATTCCTTTTTGTGAGTAAATAAATGAGTCAGTTTCTAGGGCTGTCAATCTGGTACTTTTTGTCAGCATTGTATGTATTCTTAGTTCTCACCTCCAGCAGTTTTAAAATATCACTTAGCTTGGCAGCAAGTAGGCTGAAATTTACATTGATTCTAACACAATCTTGCATTGAAATGATTGAAAGCCTTTTTTATATTTCAGAAGAAAATTATTCTCATTTAACACTGTGCTGTACATGTGACTCCAGATTGCAGAAACAGCCAACTTTGCCTTTCTGTTCTCTAGTGTTCACCTCCAGTAAAACCATATCTCACTCTTAGAAGCAAGTTCTGGGAATTAAAACACTTGAGAAAGATAGGATCCAAACTAGGCCAAATAGCTGGACCTAAGATGCCATCTAGCTCCATTTTAAGAATAGGAGTGATCTGGGTTTTTTGTTCTTGGATTGTGACCTTGGACAAATCACATTGCAGTGGAGAAACTGAGGCAAAGGGATAATGATACTTGCCTGCTTTTTGAAAAGCACTCTGAGTTGGATGAAAAGTGTAATGTAAGTAACTATTTTTGTCATTCCATTATGTATTGTAATTATAGTGCTGAACATTGAAAGCTGGCTCAGAGGGCTTATTCAAATCTGATTTCTTAAAATGCAGTTTGTTTCAGGTCTGAGATCTGGTTGAAGTTCACCTTTTTCTGGGTAGTTGGAACAAAGGCCATATCAGAGGCTTAATTATCTTGATACTGTCCCTTAAGTCTAGATGTTTACTTTTCAGTTACAGTATCTTTGCATCAAAGGAAGTATCAACTTATGTAAATGCATGAGACTTTAAAAAAAATACTGTGGGGAGGAAACTATATTCAGTGCACTGTGAGCAAGCAAGCAGACTGTTTTGGATCAAGTGAATGTATAAACTGCTCAGAGAAAGCTCTTTATGATATCCAGCAGAAGAAATAGGTTTGTAACCAAAACCCATTCTCCGGGTGAACTAGAGCTAAGATCCTTCAGAGGCTGGTGGATTGAGGTTTGTCCGAATAGTGATACAGTATTACCTGAACACTGAAGGGATCAAACTTCACAAGGATGCCCAATGGGGGTGTGGAGGTGAAGGCCAGGTTATCTGACTAGTTGTGGAAGGAAGAAGCCTCATTAAGTCATAGGTTTTCTCTGAGAAGTCTACTAAGCCCTGGATTCCAGGTCCTGAGCAAGTTTTTACACACTCCCACAGTCTTAACACAGTAACGCCATCTTTCATGAATGCAAACATATGGGTACTGTGGAAACTTTTTTTTTTTCTGATGCTTCTATAGCTGTTGGTTTTTATTAGAGTATCATCCAGAGGCCATGGTAAGATGGAACTCAATACTGCTGGGAACTGTGTATATATAGAAAGAGGCAATCCCAGCTCTGAGGAGTTCACTAACATAAGAAACAAGTGGGTATAACAAATGGAGGGAGTGCAAGGAGGATTGAGGGTAGTGGGTACAAAAATGTGTAAACCAGGAAAGGTTATGTAGCCTTTGTGCCCATTTCACAGACCTTAGAGACTCAAGACATAAGCGAGAACCGTTAATCTCTTTGACCAGATGACTGGCTATTATTGTTGACAATTTATGGTAGGCATCAAAGTAGACATGGGTCTTAGGGATTTGAAGGACATGGTTGAAGCTTTTATACATCAAATACTGCATCAATGTAACTTACACTTTTGCTATTTTGATGTAACTTTAACTAAGTTCTTCCAATATAGTGTTTAAGAGTTTTGAAAATACAGCTATAAATAATGAGGAGTAACACAGCTACCACTCTGAAACCTGTCAGCTATAAATAATGGCTTTAATATTCTTTTTCCCTAGACTGTACACCTCATATGACTAACTTGAAGAAAAGGAACTAACCATGGGACGACATTCAAGATTCCTCTCTGGAAAGGGTTACTGATGTTGCACTCTTCTATTTGGGTGATGTGTATCTGCTCATCTGACTGTCTTCATATCTAAAGGATTTATTTTACTTTTGGAAGTACTTCAAGTCGAAATTTTTGTTCCTTTTTGGAAACTGTTTCCTCATACTAAGGACTGTATACATCATGGGTGACATGGCTAACAACTCAGTTGCATACAGTGGTGTAAAAAACTCTGTAAAAGAATCTAATCATGGAGATTTTGGAATCTCACTTGAAGAGCTCCGTGCCCTTATGGAATTGCGATCTACAGATGCAGTGCATAAAATACAAGAATGTTATGGAGATGTTTATGCTATCTGTACAAGATTGAAAACTTCACCAAATGAAGGTAAGTGTATTGTGGTAGCATGTGTCCAGAAGATCTTTATTTAAATTAGATCAGTTATTTTGGCTCTGAATGTGGTTATAAATAATTAAATAGAATGCTAGCTTGTGTTCGCTGTTGTAAGAATAGAATTATGATCATCTGTCATGGTAGCGTATAGCAATTTTAACTAGACCAACTTTTGTAACTGATATAAAATTGCAGTCACATATTTCAAGATTTCAGAAACAATGTCATGATTCTCAGTTACACAAATCTATTCCATAGTGCTGAAATAAACGTTGCCAAATTTATCTCTTATTGCACTTTGAGAACCTTCAAACTTGTTTCTAGCTTGAATGGTAAGTCACAGATCGTGAACCCCATTGTGAACCCCGTTTCATAAACTAGTGGTGATTATGCTGGAAAAAAACTCCAGCCTTGGCTTGTGTATGTTCGAAAGCTATGCTTACCATCTAAGTTGATGTATTGCTACCCAACTATACATTGGCAATATGGGCTCATCTGTTGCCCAATATGGGGGAGGGGAAATGTTTTAATGCATGAACCTCTTCTATTGCAGTGTAAACAATGAATGGTTTCAGTTGAATTTTACATTTTTGAAAAAACTTGTATTTTAAAACCCTTGGAAATTGAATGATCTGAAACACTGCATTTATTACTTTGTCTTCATCCTCTGATAAGCTCTTATTTCAACTATCTTGTCTAAATGAGGGAATTATGACTGTAAATTGTTCTGGTTTTTACATTTTTTTTTTTTTCTTGTCTACTTCATTACTGTTGAATCCTGATGAGAAGCCTATTTGCTGCTCAGGCAAAATGGAGTAATCTCCTCAGGATTGAGTTGACCTGTTCTTCTAAGTTTGAAGACAACTGTTATCCGGCATATTTACTTCTTGTTGTTGTTAATAGAATTGTCAAACTTTTATATTTAACAGTACTTCAGATCTGTTCACTGCAAATTGCTTGCTCACGAGTGTGAAAGTGATGAAGCACCATGAAAAACTTAATGGATGAATTTTGCAACTTTACCAAACAGACACATGAGGCTTATGTAATTTTATGGTATCTCTGAGCTACTTTGTCAATCAATTTTTTTTTGCTGATTTGCATATTCTACAAAACCATCATTGACTATATACTCTAATAAAGTACTCTAATATAGTACTCTAATAAAGTATCCTGAATTACAAATATGACTAGTGGTGCTGAGAGGAAAATGCAGGCTTTTTTTTTTAAAGCCGAGAGTGACTGCATGTTGATACAAAAAACCTCCTGCTGCACTTGTATTTCAATCTGCCATAGTCCACACATCTGTCACTTATGCAACTTCATATTAGCAGTCATTTTATTGTTACCAGTTTAAGAATCCTTGTAAGAGTTTTATTACTCTCTGGCTAACCAGCAGCCCCACATAGTGACCCAGGGATATTGGAACAAGAACATCAGATGTTTTGGTGTTGAAAGTAGGGGGGTGGATGTTTCCTATTCTTCTCCTGTGCTAGCAGAGGACTGGAATATTCCAAGCCAGAGTACAACATGAGTAGTAGACCAAACAGGATATAAACGGGAGGATGTACAGAGGATGAAACTGGTCTGAGGTGAGGGCAAGAACAGATATAAATATCTTAGACAATATACCATTTAGCATGAGTAAAAGCACATGCAGTGGAGACAAAGTTGTGTAGACCACTGCAACAGATGAAAAGATCAGTTTATATCATTTGTGTCTTAAATTCAGATATTGGTGAAAAGTTGTTGTACAATCGTTTATTTGTTCCATGAAAGGAACGGTAGCATTGTAGAAATAGAAACCTGAATGGTAATAAAAATTGTGCCTTAAACAGGACACTCCTTGCACATTGTGATACATTTATCTTAATGACTAATTCCAATTTTCTTTATTTTTTTGTGATCGGAGTAAACCTTTAATAAGAGGTAGGGATATCATGAACATAACCATGGCTTGTAGGGCAAACTTAACAAGTTTGAAACTAGTTGTCAAGGTTTGTTTGGCACAAGATTGGGATTTACCACGTGCTCCCAAACAGGCTGTTCCAGCACCAGTTTACTACCTGTCTCTCTTAGTGAACTGATCTCTTCGACCTCCACCTGGACCTACTGTTTTATGTTGCTCTCCCCACTGGGGTGTTCTTTGTCACTCCACTGGCAATGAAGTGAAACTTCTTAGTGATGTAAATTGTGGAGTCTCTTGTGGTATCTCTTTACTGCATAGTTAATCTGCGTGATTAGTGCCCTAGTTTTGCTGTGGGGATGCTTGCACTTTACCCGCATTACTGTTTCTGCACTTGCCCATGAGTCTGGGCGCATACCCCATGATTCCCTGTGCTGAAACACTTGGATTCTTTCCAGGTCATTTGTGTCAATTGCAGGAGAATTTGTCTATCATTGAGGAGAATTGTGGGAAGGGCATTGGAGGACTATTGGCAATCAAGTGACTTTTTGCCTGTGTTCTTGCTGCTAAATGGGTGGGTTCTAGTGAGAGAAACTGGAGCCCCAGTTCTAACCTATACCCCCCCAGCCATGTAACCTGATGGTAGGGGAGTTAAGAGTTAACCCAGGTTTTGAGAGGAGTTTGAACTGTCCAGTGAACACACATGCTTGGAAACATCACAAATTAGAAACTTTGTAAATTTCACTTAGTGGTCATTCAGTGCACTATCAATACAAGAGTTGGGAGGATAGATGCACATAATGGGAGACAAGAGGAGAAAGATTAAATGAGCAAGACTACTAGCTGAATAGATTCAGTACACTCTCATTGTATGTCAGACACATCCTCTGTGTGACCTTGCACAGCTATTCACTACAGGACTTCCCATATTACTGAAGCTTGTTGTATTATGTGCTGTCCTACCTGATTATTAGAGGTATAGTAGAAAATGTGCCACAAATCCCTGAAACTTATCATAATGAAATGAGTAGCTTTTTGCTGCCAATTGAGGGTCTTAATGGACCCTAGACTACCAAATCGCTAGACCAGTGGTTTTTAACCTTTTTTCATTTGCAGACCCTTAAACATTTTCAAATGGAGGTGCAAACTCTTTGGAAGTCTTAAACATAGTCTACAGACCCCCCAGGAGTCCATGGACTACAGGGTGAAAACTACTGCACTAGACAATCAGGCTAGCCATATTCTTGTATCTTCTGTTGCTGTGTTCCTGTCCACTTCATGTGCTATCCCAATGGTGGAGCAGCACCTACTTTGCTTGAAAAGTGAATGTAGTAGGGTGCAGCAGATGAAGTTAGTGGAATTGTCAGTCTTGTCTGCCATCAAAACTGCTAGAGAAGGTATGTGCCTGGCAGCACAGATATGATCTTCCACTATAGTATTTATTTATTTAAATAATTATTCTAAATGGAGCAGGCGAGAAAGGGATTTCATGATTTCTATGCCAAGTTTAAATTCTTGCTCTGCATCCATACATTCAAAATTATTGTCGTGTATAGTGAATATGCTGATACTGGCAATAAACTTTCTCCAGTGTATCTGAGGGGAAACTGATCAGCTAAGGAAGGTTGTACTGAATGTTTGTTTGAGACACCTAGTTCAAAAATATGGCTCTGGACAGACAACAAATCACTTTATTTAAATAGGTGAGTAACTGTAATGGAGGATATAAAAATTCTTGTGGTGTATATACTCCTGTGTACCATGCAGCAATTTAGACCTAAATTCCACAGAAGGACCCCAAATTACTGTATATAAATCACAGAATTTCTTGGTGAGCTGGCAACTCTGGTAACAGTAATGGACAATGAAATGATTTGACATTTAAATTTAATGGAAAAATTCTAAAAAAGTTAATGAACTAGTACATTTCATTATCACCATGGCCTATTTAGTTGTCTGTTCTCTGTTAATGTCTTTCCATTCTGCAAACTCTGTGCTGTTAACTCCTTGCATCCCAGTACTTTCTCACTTTTTCCCCCTGAAAGCTTTCTTTCCTTAGGTATAGATTCAAGCTTTTCCTTCCTCATGGTTCTTAAAATGCCAACGTTCTATTATCTGTTGGGCTGGTCAAGTTTCTCTTTAAGTTCCCCTCCAACCAGCCAAGATTGTGATTGTAATGTAACAATTATTAAATTAATGTCAAAAGGAAACGTGAACAAGGAACCTAGACTTAGCAGTATGGCTGCATAACTGAGATTTGTGAAGCTTCAGCATAGGTATTAAACTCGGCACGTAGATCCATAACGTAAAACATTAGTTGACCAATATGCGGTTACACAGCTTAAAACTTTTAAAATTGTGCATATACAAATTCCATTGTCATTTTGTACTGTCCTACTTTTCAAATTGACTTTACAACTCGTAAGTGAGGACTAGCCACAGGTACAGTTGAAGTTCTAGCGTTCAGTTATTATGATGCATTTCTTGCTTTAAGAACTTTTGTTCTTAATTGGGAATGAAACTAAGCTTTGCCAGTTACAGCCCAAAAAAGGGAAGACTTTCAAAATAGCTGCATGAAAACTTACAGCAGAAGTTGTCTTCATAGTTTCATCTTCCATAAAATCTATCAGATTTTAATTTTAAACTTCAGTGTGTAACAGTTCCAGAACCAATTACCTTCTTGTTGGTGTTTACTACTGCTGACTTTCCTCTTTGAAGACTTCTTTTGCAAAGGCTTTTGAAATGTGTATACAGCATACTATAAACCCACCCCAGGCAAGTGACTTTAAAATATTCCTATAACTTTGATCTACTCTCAGTGTGGGAGAACTTTAGCCTTCTAAAACTACTAAATTATCACAAACTTCAACTGTTAATTCCTTAAGTCACTAGCAATTTATCTAGTTATTAAACTAAACATGTGGTGTTAGATTTACACTTAAGTTCAGTGTTCACTTCTGCATGTACCAGAACAAATAGGGCAATCTGCGGGTGAGTGAATTCACATTAGCTTTAATACAATTTAATTTTGACAAACATTCTCCAAACTTGGGCTTGAAACCGGCTATGTTAGCAAAAACCGCATTCA